GAGTGAGACTCTGTCTCAAAAAAGAAAAAAAATCATAACCAGGTTGGAATATATTTAATTCCCAACTTATATTTAGGTATATGATTCACTATTTAGAATAAAAGAGAAAAATCCTATCATCTAAGTAGATATCAAAAAGATATAAAATGCAACACAGGCCAGACATGGTGGCTCATGCCTGTGATTCCAGCACATTGGGAGGCCAAAGTGGATGGATTCCTTGAAGCCAGAAGTTCAAGAACAGCTTGGGCAACAGAATGAGACCCAATTCTACAAGAAATAAAAAAAATTAGCTGGGTGTGGTGGCGTGTGCCTGTAGTCCTAGTTATTCACCTGAGCCCAGGAGCCGATGCTGCAGTGAGCTATGACTGCACCACTACACTCAACCTGGGCAGCAGAACGAGACCCTATCTCTTAAAAAAAAGGAAAAAGAAAAAAATTCAACACAACAGATTTTTGAAAAGGAATAAAAATAGCTTTCTTAATCCAAATGACAAGTATCTCCAAAGTCTGTAGCAAACATCATACTTAGTGGCAAAATGCTGAAACTCCCTGTGAGTCAATGATGTCCGCTATCAACATTTCTATTCAACAACTTGGAAGTCCTAGCAAATACAGAAAGCAAGAAAATACGTTTTTTTAAAGTGTAAGATTATAAAGAAAAAAGTAAACCTGTCATTTTTTTTTACACTCTGTCCTTTTGCCAAATCATTAATTGTTTAAGATGATATGACTATATATACAGAAAATCTAGAAGTATAAACAAATTATTAGAATTCTGAGTTTATCAGCAAGGTGGTAGAATATAGTGAACGAAAATCAACTGCAATTTTACATACAAGCAACAGAAACAAGTTTTAAAAATAACAAAGACTTTCATCTTCTACAGCTATGTTAAAAAGAAACAAAAAAATAAAAATAAAAATAAAAAAAATAAAAAAAAAATAAAATAAAATAACAAAGATGTACCATGTCTCTACGAAGAAAACTATATTATCGAAAGAAATTAAGCATGACCAAAGTATAAAATCCTAGCAAGTGTTTTTCTCCTCCTGAACTTGACAAGCTAATTCTAAAATATATGTGAGAAAACAAACGACAAGGAATATACTAAGACACTCTTGAAGAAGAATGAGATGGGAGGACTTGATTTATTGGGAATCAAGAAATATTATAAAATTTATAAATTTTAATATAAATATTTAAGATTTATAATATAAATCTCTACTCTAATTTAGATATCGTAGTATGGGGATGAAGATAGACAAGTAGACCAATGGAACAAAACAGAAGGCCTAGAAACAGATCCATGCATATACGAGTACTTCACTGCTGACAACTATGGTACTGCAGAACAGTATGTTTTCTTTAAAAACAATCATCCTGAAATAACTATGCACATACAAAAATGAAAGTTGAACTCTGTTTCACACCATACATAAAACAAATTCCTAATGGAATATAGATCTGAATGTGAAAGGCAAAGTAATAAAATCATAATAAAAGAGCATCTTTACAACTTTAGTAGGCTCAAAAGGCATTAACCATAAAGGAGAATACTGACCAATTAGACCACAAAAGATACTATTAACAGAGTCAAAGTGGGAAATTTTGCAACATATGTAAGTAACAAAGGATGCACCACCAGTATATATAAAGAATGTCTATAAATCAAGAAGGAAAAACCAAACAATCCAAATATTTAAACAAGCACTTCATAAAAGAGAATACTTAAATAGCCATAAACATACAAAATGGTACTCAACCTTGTTACTAATTACAAAAATGCAAAATAAAAACTACAATGGAAAGTGATATTAATAAAGAGAGAAATTATTAAAAGGAACCAAACAGAAAATTTGGAGTTGAAATGAAAAATGAACTAGAGGAGTTCAACCACAGATTTGAGGAGGCAGGAAAAAGAATCAGCAAGCTTGAAGACAGGTCAATTGAGATAATCCAGCCTGGGAGCAGAAAATAAAAAGAATAAAGAGGCCGGGAGTGATGGTTCACGCCTGTAATCCTAATACTCTGGGAGGCTGATGTAGGTGGATCGTTTGAGCTCAGAAGTTCGAGACCAGCCTGAGCAAAAGCGAGACCCTGTCTCTACTAAAAATGGAAAGAAATTAATTGGCCAACTAAAAATATATAGAAAAAATTAGCCAGGCATGGTGGCGCATGCCTGTAGTCCCAGCTACTCAGGAGGCTGAGGCGGTCGTGGTTATAAGTCCGAACTGGACAGAAAGAACAATACTGAGGAAACAAATGATACACGCAGCAGCAAGAAGATAGCAGTGGCTACATAAAGCTGCGTTTACTTCTCTACAGAGAAGGCTGGGGCCTGTTTAGAAGGCAGGAAAAGGAAAAGTCCATTTGAAAAATTATAAGGCAAAGAGTTAAACTGGAAGCTAAGTAGTGACTCAGCAGACTCTCAGTAGTGGAAACAGGCCCATCAGGCACTAAGGATTGACTCATGCTGCAAGCAGAAAAGACAATGCTAAAATACTGTAGACATCTCACAGCCCTCAACTATGCAATTACAGAGAAAAATACATGAAAATCTATGATGAATCATTATTCAGGCATACTCCTCAGTGGATTAATAATTGGTGAAGACGACAGCACAGATAGCTCACCAAATCAATGGTTTTTGCCCTCTTCTTAGAAGCATCATCACACACGTTTCACACCAAAGCCACTCTTGAGGGAGAGATTTGATTGGCACCTGGTGAATCATGTTATGGGTAAATCCTGTTTGGTAAAGAAAATACACATGAATCTAAAGTTCTGGGAGAATTAAATAAATGCATAGTAAATCAGTGATTTTAGCTGTTCATTACATATCACATGCCAATAACAAATGTTTAGAACTGAAAGGTCCTTACCAAATGCCTTAGAGAAGTTAAAGGATTGACTTATGTGTTTTTCAAAACCTCCAAAATTTATAGGATCGAAGAAACATCTACTCATAATAAGCACCTGAAAGCTTTATCTTAAAAATCACAAATAATTATACCTCACTTCCCTCCATGAGGGCAATCTAAGAAAAATACTCTTGTTGACTTCTGAAAGTCAACTATAGAGTAATGATTCGTACATCTTACAGTCTTCTCCCAAAGAAGCTCTGAATTTGCCTCGTTTAGTGAGACTTGCTCCCAAATAGCTGACACCCATATTTTTTCTAGCCAATTTGACTCTATGCTTTAAAGCTTTTGTCTCAGGAAAGCTTCTGAGTTTGAAACAATAAAACACTCAGCTGTCTTAAGACACATATGGAACAAAAACTGATGGAATAAAATGTACAGAAATGATTAACTGTGATACTTGTAAACAATGCTCAATGGTACAAAATAAATAAATGATGGCTCTTTATGAAATCCTTCAACAAATAAAATTAAAAGTAGCTAGTAAAGGTATCAAATACTCATCTCAGTTTATCTTAATTCACTAAAGATTTACAAACTGTTAAACTTGCTGCATTGCTATAGAATGCTGAATCAAGAACACAGTATCATTCCAACTCCATACTCTGCTTAAAAAAGAGAACTCAACTTTAGTATTGGTAGGCTAGGTAAATGAGACAAAGATGTCTCCTGAAAACAACTAGAAAGGTGAATAAATTATGAAAACACATGCCATTTGAAGGCATCAGAAAGCTAACAAGACAGTAAAGATTATTGGGCCAGGGGAAACAGGGCTCAACAAGATAGCCCTGAAATCTTTGGGTTTCCCTCAGAGTCATATGCTACTCAGTGAGGTTTTCTGAGGCTTTCAAAAGCCACTAGGTGTGTGGTAACAACAATTGTATATAAGACCTATGATGTTGAGGAGTCTGGTAAAACACTTTGCTTTGGGTTGAGGACCAAAGGAACATACCTTATGATTTAGAGTGAGCCAGAAATAGGCCCGACAATGAATGCAGTTCAACTTCAAATAATCAAAATCTTAAAACTGAATTAAAATAATCCTGGATAGAAAATGCCCCTAAGTCCTGACAAAGAGAACATAAATTCTGTTGGATGATACCATTATTCTTGACCTCAATTATCTACCAAAATAATTCTGCAAAAATAATGCCTGATACACTACAGAAAATAAGCAGTTACGCGAGAGACAACATGAACAAAAAGATAACAGAAATAACACAACATAATCAGATCCACAGTAGATCCATAAATTAGAGATACCAGGTATCACACTAAGACTTTAAAGTAAACATACTCACTCTATACAAGATTTAAAAAATGAGAATCTCAGCAAAGAACTGGAAACAATTTAAAAATGCCAAATGGAAACACAAAACCAAAATATTACAACCAAAATAAAGAATAAATGAAAGAAAGCTTAACAAATCAGAAAGGAAATAATCAGAACAAAGCACAGAAAACTAAAGTAAGAAAATTTAGAAAGAAATTTAAGAAATACAGACTTCAGTAAAAAGGTTTACATATTTATAACTGGGGTTAGGAAAAGAGAGACAACACAGTAAAACTGTTATTTAAAAATAATCACAGGAGGCTGGGGAGGTGGCTCCTGTAATCCTAGCACTCTGGGAGGCCGAGGCGGGAGGATTGCTCAAGGTCAGGAGTTCGAAACCAGCCTGAGCAAGAGTAAGACCCCGTCTCTACAATAAATAGAAAGAAATTACTTGGCCAACTATTATATACAGAAAAAATTAGCCAGACGTGGTGGCACATGCCTGTAGTCCCAGCTACTCGGGAGGCTGAGGCAGGAGGATCACTTGAGCCCAGGAGTTTGAGGTTGCTGTGAGCCAGGCTGATGCCACGGCACTCACTCTAGCCTGTGCAACAAAACAAGACTCTGTCTCTAAATAAATAAATAAACAAACAAATAAATAAATAAAAACACTGCTTGATGTTAGGATAGAAGGATTAATGGGAGATTTTCATGTTCCCTTTATTCATTATTCGGTTGTTTTTACAACAAATAAAAATCAGAATCCCAAACAAGCACTTACCGAAGCAAAGGTTTACGCTTACCTGCTCGGCTCAGTGCTTCTGTCTGCTCCTCATGGAGTGCTCCCCCTTCTTTCTCCTGCTGGAAACGGGTCTGCAGCTGCTTGATCTCCTGATCGTAGTCCTGCCACTCAGGGACGATTCGCACAGCTGCTTCCAGCTTGGGCTCTTTGGTCATTGGATTATTACACTATGAAAAGCAAAGAACACACTTCAGCTGAGGTTAAGAAAGGCACTTTACATAGAATTAAAAGGTTATTTCAAGCCGGGCGCGGTGGCTCACGCCTGTAATCCTAGCACTCTGGGAGGCTGAGGCGGGCGGATTGCTCGAGGTCAGGAGTTCGAAACCAGCCTGAGCAAGAGCGAGACCCCGTCTCTACTATAAATAGAAATAAATTAATTGGCCAACTAATATATATATAAAAT